GTCGTCGACCTCGGCGAAGGACGCCGACTCCTCTGCCGGCGGCAAGGGGAGCGGCGACAAGTCGGCGTCGTGCTCCCTGGTCGGCGTTGTGGAGCCGACCGTCTCACTGGCGCCGGAGGCCGGTGAGGACTTTCAGGCGATGGCAGCAGCAGTGCAGGCGAACCCGGCGGTGGTCCTACTGGACAGCGGCTGCTCCCACCACCTGATGGGGACGAAGGAGGTCTTCGTCGACATGGGGCCGAGCGGCGACTTGAAGCACGTGCGTGGCTTCAATGGGGCGCTGCAAGACGTCCAGGGCCGGGGCACGGTTGCGTTGCAAGGCGAGGCCGGGAAGCAGGTTCTCATCCCCGACGTGCTGTACGTCCCGGGTGTGCGGGCAAACCTGTTGTCGTCTGGTCAGCTGAAGGAGCATGGCGTGAAGTTTCAAGAGGACGGCGACGGGATGCTGCTTGTCTCGGCAGCGGGAGAAGTGCTTGGTCGGGCGACGTACTCCGGGCGAGTCCTCTGCACCGACCTGCGTCCCTGCTCACCGAGGTCGACGTCGCCCACGCTGGAGGTTGTGGCCCTGCGGGCGATCGTCTCCAAGGCGAAGTCGACGCCGGACAGGATGCACGCACGCCTTGCGCACGTCGGCCTGGATACCATCAGGAGCTCGGCGAAGAACGAGGTCGCCATTGGGCTGGACCTCAAGTCGGCGACGGGTACCGACTCACCGTGTGTCTCGTGCGTCGGTGGGAAGCTGGCGAAGCACACCTTCCCCGACCAAGGCTCCGACGCCGCCGACGTGCTAGCCGTCGTTCACATCGACTTGTGCGGGCCATTCCGGGTGGCTGCCAAGGACGGCAGCCTGTACTTCTTGCTGCTGAAGGACCGTAAGTCCCACTACGTGTGGGTGAGGCCGGTCGCCAAGAAGTCGGATGTGCTGCTGGAGTTCCAGAAGTGGCTGGTGCTGGTGGAGAGGCAGACGAAGAAGTCGGTGTTGCAGCTACGCTCTGACCGAGGAGGGGAGTTTCTCGGCAAGGCCTTCACCGCCTTCGTGGACGGCAAGGGGATCGTCCACGACCTAACCTGCCCGTACACCCCGCAGCAGAACGGCATGGCGGAGCGGGAGATGCGGACGGTGGTGGAGTCGGTGAGGACGATGCTGCTGCACATGGGCGTGCAGCACCACTGGTGGCACCTCGCCCTGCGGCAGGCCGTCTGGATCCGCAACTGCCTGGAGCGATCGGCGACGCCGGGGACGACGCTGTACCAGCTGCTGACCGGGACGAAGCCCGACTTGTCGCTGGCGCGCGTGTGGGGCTGCATGGCGCAGTTCCTCGTCCCCGAGCAGCAGCGTGGTGGGAAGCTGCGGCCAAAGGCCGAATGGGGCCTTCACCTCGGTGTGTCGGAGGCGAGCAAGGGATGGGAGCTCCTCGACATTGCCGCCAACCGGGTGGTCACCACGTCGGACGTGGTGTTCTACGAGGACCTGTCGTTGGAGGAGTGGAAGTCGGAGCATGGGCCGGTGTCAGGGCGGACGCTAGTGTCCACGCCGACGGATACCTCGACGGCAACGCTCCCTCTACTCGCCGAGGTCGGTGAGCTTGCTGTGGACGACGCCGAGGTCGTCCACCCTTCCTTTCCCTCCCCTGCCCCTCCCCTCGTCGACCTTCGTGGGCTGACTCCGTCGTCGGCCTCCGGCGATGAGGGGAGCAGTGGGACGTCGCCTGTGGCGCCGACCAAGGGCATCGCCGGTGGCCGACAGGACGAGCAGCAAGTCGACGAGCAGCAGGTCGACAAGCAGCAGGTCGACCTGGGAGTGCAGTCGACCTGGATAAGGGGGGAGCCGGTCGAGGAGGTGCAGCCGACTTGGGTGAAGCCGACAGGGGAGCAGGCAGCAACGAGGTCGACCCAGGAACAGTCGGCGACCTGGCGATCGACAGGGGAGCTGACCACAGGGGAGCAGTCGACCGGGAAGCCGACCGAGGTGCAGCAGGGCGACGAGGACGGCAGTGAAGATGAAGGGGAGCAGTTGGGCGACGAGGAGCTGGTCGACCAGGAGGTGGCCGACCAGTCCACCGACCATGACGCGGTGAGGGTTCCGCCTGAACCCCGGAAGTCTGGTCGACTTCGAAGGCCGCCCGACTTCTTCATTCCCGCTGCCTTCACCACGGTGTACGACGTGGAGGACGACGACGACCTCCTGTACGATGACGCCGAGGAGGATGAGGACTTCCCGGAGCTCGACCCCGACATGCTGGCCGACCCCGAGCACCGCTGGGACATCTCGACGATGACGGTGAAGGAGGCGCTAGCGAGCTGGAAGGGTCCGACGGTGAAGGCCGCCATGGAGGAAGAGATCCGTAGTCTCCTCGCCATGGGCACGTGGGAGCTGGTCGAACGCCCGCCAGGAGTGAATGTCATGAAGAACCGGTGGGTGCTGACGACGAAGTACAACATCGACGACACCGTCGAGCGGGAGAAGGCGAGGCTGGTCGTGAAGGGCTTCACGCAGGTGTACGGCGCCGACTACGACGAGACGTTCGCGCCGGTGGGCAGCTACGTCATGCTGAGGATCTTCCTCAGCATCGTCGCCGTCCTCAACCTGAACCTGATGCAGCTCGACATGAAGAATGCCTTCCTGCAGAGCAAGCTCGACCGGGTGTTGTACATGTCGCAGCCGGACTACTTCAACGACGGAACCGGCCGGGTGTGCAAGCTGCTGAAGAGCCTGTACGGGCTGAAGCAGTCGCCGCTGCTGTGGTACTTGGCGCTCAACGACGTGCTGGTCGACGCTGGGTGGAAGAAGAGCCAGGTCGACGAGGCCCTTTACTTCAAGGTCGGCGCCGACGGAGCGACTTGCTGGGTGCTGGTCTACGTCGACGACTTACTTGCCGCCAGCAGTAGCCCCGCGATGCTGAAGGAGCTGAAGGAGCTGCTGGAGGCCGCCTTTGAGCTGCGCGAGATCTCGCCGGTGCAGAAGTACCTCGGGCTGGAGATCGTGCGCGACAGGTCGGCGGGGAAGCTGTGGCTGCACCAGCAGGGCTACGCTGACAAGCTGCGTAGGCGCTTCATCGACGAGGAGCAGGGCGGACGGACTCCGAAGACGTCGGTCTCGGTCGACGCCTACGCCGAGCTCACCTTCGACGACGAGGAGGCACAGGAGCGACAGGAGGAGGAATACCGGCAGAAGGTCGGCTCGCTGCAGTTCGCGGCGACGACGACGAGGCCGGACATCGCCTTCGCCTGCAGCAAGCTGGGGAGCGGCCTCACGGTAAGGAGCGACCAGCACTGGTGCGAGGTCGACCGCTGCCTCGCCTACCTCGCCAACACGCGTGACACCGCCCTGGAGTTCGGCGGTGGACCTGAGTCGCTGGAGCTGGTCGGCTACGTGGACGCCGACGACGCCAGTGACAAGCAGAGCAGGACGAGCACGGGCGGCTACGTGTTCGTCTACGGAGGGGCCGCGGTCTCCTGGTCGAGCCAGCGCATCAAGTGCGCGACACTGTCGTCGACCGAGTCGGAGTACGTGGCGGCCGTCGAAGCCGGCAAGGAGGGACGCCGACTTCGCTTCCTCCTCGCAGAGTTCCAGCAGTTGGATGCTGGGAAGCCGACCGTCCTTCGGGTGGACAACAAGTCGGCCATCACGGTCGCCGAGGGCATGGGGTTGACGGGCAACCTCAAGCACATGGAGCGGCGACAGGCCTGGCTGCAGCACATGGTGAAGCGGGGGAAGTTTGCGCTGCAGTACATCCCGACCGCTGAGCAGCCAGCCGACTTCCTCACGAAGGCGCTGCACTATCCGGCTTTCAACCGGTGCTCCGTCGCCATCGGCCAGGTGCGCTTGGCCGACGTGGGCGACGGAGTTGACGAAGTGCAGCAGTAGGTGCCATGCCCTTTTGCATGGCTGGTGCGGTGGACGACGTGCTGTGTGTTGGGTGCACGTCGACGAGCTGTTCTCCGAGCAGTGCTGCCGTAGGGGCTGGAGGCCCAAGCGTGAACGCGGCAGGGGAGTGTCAACGGGAGTTGGGTGTTGGCCCCGTCCTCGCTTGGGCGGAGCCGACTTCGTGGTCGGATGTAGGGGTGCAGCCGACCTGCAGCAGTGGGCGGGCTGGTCGACGAGGTCGGGAGGGCGCCAACTTCGGGTGGTCGACCCGGGACGTCGACCAGCCCTTCTGGTCGACTTGGGAAGTCGACCAGACCTTCTGGTCGACCTGGTAAGTCGACCAGCCGTTCTGGTCGACCAGGAGTGACGTCGACTTGGAGCTGGTCGACCAGGGGATAGTGGTCGACCTGGGGAGGTTGACTGGAGGTGGCCGTCGACTTGGGAGGTCGACCGACACGTACCAGAGGGAGTGGTCGACCTGGGAGGTCGACCGGAAGTGGTCGTCGACCTGGGTGGTCGACGGGCACGCACTGGAGCCTCTGGTCGACCTGGTTGCCCGGTCGACCAGGTTACCTAGGTGACGAGGTGCTGCGAAGGCTTGCGATGGTCGCCCAGGTGGTTTTGGCGAGGACGACCTCGGTGATGGTATCCCGAGGTCGACGTGGTGCATCAGAAGCAGTCGTCAGCACGAAGTTGATGTGGTGTGTGCGTTGTGCAGGTGACGAGGCACTGCACGCCAATCGTCTGCGAGCATTTGCGAAGTAGGTGCGCTGCTGTCCTGCGGGAGCAACGTTGGCGCGCCGTCAACCTGCAACGTTGGCACGCCGTCGACCTGCAGTGTTGGCAAGCCACGACTCTGCGCTGCTGGAGCGCGGTCGACCAAGTTGTGCTGGCGCGCGGTCGACTGTGCTGCGCTGGCAGTCGACCTGCTTGCATGCTAGCTCTGATGTAGTTTTGCCTTGCCAACTTCTTTGTATCATTGTTGTCAACTTTCTCTAGTGAAACTCTTGCCAAATTGCCTTGTGAACTAGCAAATAGTGTGCGCACTAGGAAAACGACTAAGGACCAACGAACGCAGTGATCACACGAGCATCCGTGCCTAGCCCGTAGTCTAGCTCCCGTTACTAGAGTTATGTCCGCACCCCGCCCCATTCTCCCTCATTCACCCCGCCCCATCCATCACCCCGCCCCATTCTCCCTCTTTCCATCACCCCGCCCCATTCTCCCTCTTTCCATCACCCCGCCCCATTCTCCCTCTTTCCATCACCCTGCCCCATTCTCCCGCTTTTCATCACCCCGCCCCATTCTCCCGCTTTCCCTCACCCCGCCCCATTCTCCCGCTTTTCATCACCCCGCCCCATTCTCCCGCTTTCCATCACCCCGGCCCATTCTCCCGCTTTCCATCACCCCGGCCCATTCTCCCGCTTTCCATCACCCCGCCCCATTCTCCCGCTCTTCATCACCCCGCCCATTCTCCCCGCTTTCTATCACCCCGCCCTTCTCCCGCTTTCTATCACCCGCCCCATTCTCCTGCTCTTCATCACCCCGCCCCATTCTCCCGCTTCTCCATCACCCCGCCCCTTTTCCCGCTCTCCATCACCCCGGCCCGTTCTCCCGCTATCATCACCCCGCCCCATTCTCCCTCTTTCCATCACCCCGGCCCGTTCTCCCTCTACACCACCCCGCCCCATTCTCCCCTTTCCATCACCCCGCCCCTTCGTTCTCTTCATCCACCACCCCGCCCCATTCTCCCGCTTTCCATCACCCCGCCCCATTCTCCCGCTTTCCATCACCCCGCCCCGTTCTCCCTCTTTCCATCACCCCGCCCCATTCTTCCGCTTTCCATCACCCCGCCCCATTCTCCCGCTTTCCATCACCCTGCCCCATTCTCCCGCTTTCCATCACCCCGCCCCATTCTCCCGCTTTCCATCACCCCGCCCTATTCTCCCGCTTTCCATCACCCCGCCCCATTCTCCCGCTTCCATCACCCCCCCCTGCCCTATCTCCCGCTTTCCATCACCCCGACCCATTCTCCCGCTTTCCATCACCCCGGCCCATTCTCCCGCTTTCCATCACCCGCCCCATTCTCCCGCATTCCATCACCCGCCCCATTCTCCTCTTTCCAGCCCCCCCCCCCATTCTCCCGCATTCCATCACCCCGCCCCATTCTCCCTCTTTCCATCACCCTGCCCCATTCTTCCTCTTTCCATCAACCCGCCCCGTTCTTCCTCTTTCATCATCACCCCGCCCCATTCTCCCGCTTTCCCATATCAACCCGCCCCCGCCCATTCTCCCGCTTTCCATCACCCCGGCCCATTCTCCCGCTTTCCATCACCCCGGCCCATTCTCCCTCTTTCCATCACCCGCCCATTCTCCTCGTTCCATCACCCGCCCCATTCTCCCTTTCCATCACCCCGCCCCATTCTCCCTCTTTCCATCACCCCGCCCCATTCTCCCTCTTTCCATCACCCCGCCCCATTCTCCCGCTCTCCATCACCCCGCCCCATTCTCCCGCTTTCCATCACCCCACCCCATTCTCCCGCTCTCCATCACCCCGCCCCATTCTCCCGCTTTCCATCACCCCGCCCGATTCTCCCGCTTTCCATCACCCCGCCCCATTCTCCCGCTTTCCATCACCCCGCCTCATTCTCCCGCTTTCCATCACCCCGCCCCATTCTCCCTCTTTCCATCACCCCGCCTCATTCTCCCTCTTTCCATCACCCCGCCCCATTCTCCAGCTCTATTTCCATCACCCCGCCCCATTCTCCCTCTTTCCATCACCCCGCCCCATTCTCCCGCTTTCCATCACCCCGGCCCATTCTCCCGCTTTCCATCACCCTGCCCCATTCTCCCGCTTTCCATCACCCCGCCCCATTCTCCCGCTTTTCATCACCCCGCCCCATTCTCCCGCTTTCCATCACCCCGACCCATTCTCCCTCTTTCCATCACCCCGGCCCATTCTCCCGCTTTCCATCACCCCGCCCCATTCTCCCGCTTTCCATCACCCCGCCCCATTCTTCCGCTTTCCATCACCCCGCCCCATTCTCCCGCTTTCCATCACCGCGCCCCATTCTCCCGCTTTCCATCACCCCGCCCCATTCTCCCGCTTTCCATCACCCCGCCCCATTCTCCCGCTTTCTATCACCCCGCCCCATTCTCCCTCTATCCATCACCCCCCCCATTCTCCCTCTATCCATAACCCTGCCCCATTCTCCCGCTTTCCATCACCCGCCCCATTCTCCCGCTTTCCATCACCCCGCACCATTCTCCCGCTTTCCATCACCCTGCCCCATTCTCCCGCTTTCCATCACCCGCCCCATTCTCCCGCTTTCCATCACCCTGCCCCATTCTCCCGCTTTCCATCACCCCGACCCATTCTCCCGCTTTCCATCACCCGCCCCATTCTCCCTCTTTCCATCACCCCGCCCCGTTCTCCCTCTTTCCATCACCCCGCCCCATTCTCCCGCATTCCATCACCCCGCCCCATTCTCCCTCTTTCCATCACCCCGCCCCATTCTCCCGCTTTTCATCACCCCGCCCCGTTCTCCCGCTTTCCATCACCCCGCCCCATTCTCCCTCTTTCCATCACCCTGCCCCATTCTCCCTCTTTCCATCACCCCGCCCCATTCTCCCTCTTTCCATCACCCTGCCCCATTCTCCCTCTTTCCATCACCCCACCCCATTCTCCCTCTTTCCATCACCCCGCCCCATTCTCCCTCTTTCCATCACCCCGCCCCATTCTCCCGCTTTCCATCACCCCGCCCCGTTCTCCCGCTTTCCATCACCCCGCCTCGACCAGCTCCAAGTCGACGTCACTCCTGGTCGACCAGAACGGCTGGTCGACTTACCAGGTCGACTTCCCAAGTCGACCAGAAGGGCTGGTCGACGTCCCGGGTCGACCACCCGAAGTTGGCGCCCTCCCGACCTCGTCGACCAGCCCGCCCACTGCTGCAGGTCGGCTGCACCCCTACATCCGACCACGAAGTCGGCTCCGCCCAAGCGAGGACGGGGCCAACACCCAACTCCCGTTGACACTCCCCTGCCGCGTTCACGCTTGGGCCTCCAGCCCCTACGGCAGCACTGCTCGGAGAACAGCTCGTCGACGTGCACCCAACACACAGCACGTCGTCCACCGCACCAGCCATGCAAAAGGGCATGGCACCTACTGCTGCACTTCGTCAACTCCGTCGCCCACGTCGGCCAAGCGCACCTGGCCGATGGCGACGGAGCACCGGTTGAAAGCCGGATAGTGCAGCGCCTTCGTGAGGAAGTCGGCTGGCTGCTCAGCGGTCGGGATGTACTGCAGCGCAAACTTCCCCCGCTTCACCATGTGCTGCAGCCAGGCCTGTCGCCGCTCCATGTGCTTGAGGTTGCCCGTCAACCCCATGCCCTCGGCGACCGTGATGGCCGACTTGTTGTCCACCCGAAGGACGGTCGGCTTCCCAGCATCCAACTGCTGGAACTCTGCGAGGAGGAAGCGAAGTCGGCGTCCCTCCTTGCCGGCTTCGACGGCCGCCACGTACTCCGACTCGGTCGACGACAGTGTCGCGCACTTGATGCGCTGGCTCGACCAGGAGACCGCGGCCCCTCCGTAGACGAACACGTAGCCGCCCGTGCTCGTCCTGCTCTGCTTGTCACTGGCGTCGTCGGCGTCCACGTAGCCGACCAGCTCCAGCGACTCAGGTCCACCGCCGAACTCCAGGGCGGTGTCACGCGTGTTGGCGAGGTAGGCGAGGCAGCGGTCGACCTCGCGCCAGTGCTGGTCGCTCCTTACCGTGAGGCCGCTCCCCAGCTTGCTGCAGGCGAAGGCGATGTCCGGCCTCGTCGTCGTCGCCGCGAACTGCAGCGAGCCGACCTTCTGCCGGTATTCCTCCTCCTGTCGCTCCTATGCCTCCTCGTCGTCGAAGGTGAGCTCGGCGTAGGCGTCGACCGAGACCGACGTCTTCGGAGTCCGTCCGCCCTGCTCCTCGTCGATGAAGCGCCTACGCAGCTTGTCAGCGTAGCCCTGCTGGTGCAGCCACAGCTTCCCCGCCGACCTGTCGCGCACGATCTCCAGGCCGAGGTACTTCTGCACCGGCGAGATCTCGCGCAGCTCAAAGGCGGCCTCCAGCAGCTCCTTCAGCTCCTTCAGCATCGCGGGGCTACTGCTGGCGGCAAGTAAGTCGTCGACGTAGACCAGCACCCAGCAAGTCGCTCCGTCGGCGCCGACCTTGAAGTAAAGGGCCTCGTCGACCTGGCTCTTCTTCCACCCAGCGTCGACCAGCACGTCGTTGAGCGCCAAGTACCACAGCAGCGGCGACTGCTTCAGCCCGTACAGGCTCTTCAGCAGCTTGCACACCCGGCCGGTTCCGTCGTTGAAGTAGTCCGGCTGCGACATGTACAACACCCGGTCGAGCTTGCTCTGCAGGAAGGCATTCTTCATGTCGAGCTGCATCAGGTTCAGGTTGAGGACGGCGACGATGCTGAGGAAGATCCTCAGCATGACGTAGCTGCCCACCGGCGCGAACGTCTCGTCGTAGTCGGCGCCGTACACCTGCGTGAAGCCCTTCACGACCAGCCTCGCCTTCTCCCGCTCGACGGTGTCGTCGATGTTGTACTTCGTCGTCAGCACCCACCGGTTCTTCATGACATTCACTCCTGGCGGGCGTTCGACCAGCTCCCACGTGCCCATGGCGAGGAGACTACGGATCTCTTCCTCCATGGCGGCCTTCACCGTCGGACCCTTCCAGCTCGCTAGCGCCTCCTTCACCGTCATCGTCGAGATGTCCCAGCGGTGCTCGGGGTCGGCCAGCATGTCGGGGTCGAGCTCCGGGAAGTCCTCATCCTCCTCGGCGTCATCGTACAGGAGGTCGTCGTCGTCCTCCACGTCGTACACCGTGGTGAAGGCAGCGGGAATGAAGAAGTCGGGCGGCCTTCGAAGTCGACCAGACTTCCGGGGTTCAGGCGGAACCCTCACCGCGTCATGGTCGGTGGACTGGTCGGCCACCTCCTGGTCGACCAGCTCCTCGTCGCCCAACTGCTCCCCTTCATCTTCACTGCCGTCCTCGTCGCCCTGCTGCACCTCGGTCGGCTTCCCGGTCGACTGCTCCCCTGTGGTCAGCTCCCCTGTCGATCGCCAGGTCGCCGACTGTTCCTGGGTCGACCTCGTTGCTGCCTGCTCCCCTGTCGGCTTCACCCAAGTCGGCTGCACCTCCTCGACCGGCTCCCCCCTTATCCAGGTCGACTGCACTCCCAGGTCGACCTGCTGCTTGTCGACCTGCTGCTCGTCGACTTGCTGCTCGTCCTGTCGGCCACCGGCGATGCCCTTGGTCGGCGCCACAGGCGACGTCCCACTGCTCCCCTCATCGCCGGAGGCCGACGACGGAGTCAGCCCACGAAGGTCGACGAGGGGAGGGGCAGGGGAGGGAAAGGAAGGGTGGACGACCTCGGCGTCGTCCACAGCAAGCTCACCGACCTCGGCGAGTAGAGGGAGCGTTGCCGTCGAGGTATCCGTCGGCGTGGACACTAGCGTCCGCCCTGACACCGGCCCATGCTCCGACTTCCACTCCTCCAACGACAGGTCCTCGTAGAACACCACGTCCGACGTGGTGACCACCCGGTTGGCGGCAATGTCGAGGAGCTCCCATCCCTTGCTCGCCTCCGACACACCGAGGTGAAGGCCCCATTCGGCCTTTGGCCGCAGCTTCCCACCACGCTGCTGCTCGGGGACGAGGAACTGCGCCATGCAGCCCCACACGCGCGCCAGCGACAAGTCGGGCTTCGTCCCGGTCAGCAGCTGGTACAGCGTCGTCCCCGGCGTCGCCGATCGCTCCAGGCAGTTGCGGATCCAGACGGCCTGCCGCAGGGCGAGGTGCCACCAGTGGTGCTGCACGCCCATGTGCAGCAGCATCGTCCTCACCGACTCCACCACCGTCCGCATCTCCCGCTCCGCCATGCCGTTCTGCTGCGGGGTGTACGGGCAGGTTAGGTCGTGGACGATCCCCTTGCCGTCCACGAAGGCGGTGAAGGCCTTGCCGAGAAACTCCCCTCCTCGGTCAGAGCGTAGCTGCAACACCGACTTCTTCGTCTGCCTCTCCACCAGCACCAGCCACTTCTGGAACTCCAGCAGCACATCCGACTTCTTGGCGACCGGCCTCACCCACACGTAGTGGGACTTACGGTCCTTCAGCAGCAAGAAGTACAGGCTGCCGTCCTTGGCAGCCACCCGGAATGGCCCGCACAAGTCGATGTGAACGACGGCTAGCACGTCGGCGGCGTCGGAGCCTTGGTCGGGGAAGGTGTGCTTCGCCAGCTTCCCACCGACGCACGAGACACACGGTGAGTCGGTACCCGTCGCCGACTTGAGGTCCAGCCCAATGGCGACCTCGTTCTTCGCCGAGCTCCTGATGGTATCCAGGCCGACGTGCGCAAGGCGTGCGTGCATCCTGTCCGGCGTCGACTTCGCCTTGGAGACGATCGCCCGCAGGGCCACAACCTCCAGCGTGGGCGACGTCGACCTCGGTGAGCAGGGACGCAGGTCGGTGCAGAGGACTCGCCCGGAGTACGTCGCCCGACCAAGCACTTCTCCCGCTGCCGAGACAAGCAGCATCCCGTCGCCGTCCTCTTGAAACTTCACGCCATGCTCCTTCAGCTGACCAGACGACAACAGGTTTGCCCGCACACCCGGGACGTACAGCACGTCGGGGATGAGAACCTGCTTCCCGGCCTCGCCTTGCAACGCAACCGTGCCCCGGCCCTGGACGTCTTGCAGCGCCCCATTGAAGCCACGCACGTGCTTCAAGTCGCCGCTCGGCCCCATGTCGACGAAGACCTCCTTCGTCCCCATCAGGTGGTGGGAGCAGCCGCTGTCCAGTAGGACCACCGCCGGGTTCGCCTGCACTGCTGCTGCCATCGCCTGAAAGTCCTCACCGGCCTCCGGCGCCAGTGAGACGGTCGGCTCCACAACGCCGACCAGGGAGCACGACGCCGACTTGTCGCCGCTCCCCTTGCCGCCGGCAGAGGAGTCGGCGTCCTTCGCCGAGGTCGACGACTTGGTCGACTGCTTCTCCTTGCGCGATTGACTTCCTCCTCGACGAGGTCGACGACTGCCAGACCTCCCGCGGCCTCCCTTGTCGTCGTCGTCCGAGTCACTTCGGTCGGGGCACTCGAAGGAGAGGTGGTCGGAATCGCCGCACAGCCAGCACTCCCGGCGTCGACTTC